CATTACTAACAATTCATAATGTCCTTGAGGGGCACTGAATGCGGTTAACGGAATGCTTTCTGTTTTCATTAATTTGCCAGTAACCACTTTTGCAATCCATTTTAGAAAACCATGTGGCTCCTTATATACTATTGAATAACACAATTTTATTAGGAATGTAATAGTCATCAAACACAGTATTATTATTTAGCTGTTTATAATTAATGACCACTAGTGTGTACCCCGGACGATGCCCTGAGTTGCTAGTTTGTGTACTTCTTGCTTTAATTTAACAATTATGTTCGACTGTTTGTATAGTTACTGTGCGTATTGGTTCGGGCGTTGCCTCGGATGTCACTTTTTTTTTCACATCATATGTATTTATATTCTAATCTTGTGAAAAATAAATGAATTATATTACCTCTAATTTACTTAATAAATGAAAGGAATATATAATATTATGTGAAACTTGAAACATTAATAATAGATGGCTGAGATGGTAAATGTATTACCTATATGTATTGGAGGTAATGGGTTCGAATCTTGTTCAAAGCATATTTTATTTTGTTAAATGAAGTGGCTTTGGATGATGACATGGCATTGTGACATAGCACACATACTTTGAAGAGTGCCATGTGGCGCCGTTCCTTTAAAAGGAACGCCTTTTAATATATAGTATAGATTCTAGCTTTACCTCTTTTTTCTTCTGCATGATTTCTAACCATGAATGTTGGAGTATTATGAGGACTCTTGCTATTCCTAATCAATTTCTTATTAAGCAATTCTTTTAATGTGTTCATCAAATTCCAATATATCTTGGTAGGTATAAACCATTTGTCTTACTCTAATAATCTTATTCGGATTTGTTAAAGTTATCTTAGCAAATGCTTTATCCCTTTCCCAATGTTCCAACGGATTTGTTGAATATAATTTTTCGCATAATTTTTCCTGTTGCTTAATTATCTGATCTATTAATGATGATTCACACTTAGAAATTCTAAGTGCAACCTCTCGTTGTGTAGGTGTAACCCTATCACCACGATGGTTGCGCGTAAATTCCATTGTTTGATGTGTATAAGCCTTTGTAATTTTGGTATAGGAACATAATGACCATTAATAGTAAAGATAATTTGATAAATGGTTTGGGTGCATGGAGAGTATAGTCGTTGAAATTTATTTCCTATTTTCATGTCATGACTAGGTTGATCAGTAACCCATAAAATAGGAATAACACATTGAACACCTCCAATTTCTATTGGTGATTCTTCTATTATTTTCGTATGCATCATGACACTGCTATTAGCAATTCTAAATTGCATAGGATATTTAGCCTTTTTCCACAAGAATTCTGGAAATAATGATCTTTTTCCGAAACATGTAGAACAACCACTGTCAATCTATGCACATAATTTATATTTATTATAATCTTCAATGCATATATCAATTGGAATATAAATGTTATTTGGATAAGTATTGGATATTTCATTACAAGCTTCCATTTGCTTATTTACTTCATCTTCATATACTAGTTCACTCATAGTTTTGGTCTTATATCCAATTACCTTTCTTTTTTCAATACTAGGATTATTCGGATCTTCATTTATCTCTAAATTAGAACATGAACCAATATATGTACTATGTCTTGCGGGTTGCTTTAAGGCTTTCTTAGTTTCATATTTTTCATTTACCTTCTTTATTAAAGATAATATTTCTTCTTTATCCTCTTCTGATTTTTCATTAACTTGTTTTTTCAATTTTATAATAGCTGAATTTTGTCTACTTAGACTAGGTGATCTAAGACTCATACTTCTTTGTATTTTAGGGTTTGTAGTTATCCCAATATGAAGCAATCCTGATTCTTCAATTAATAACTTACTTGACCTATTTTTTACTGCAGGATTCATGAAGAATTCTTCCCAAGATTTTTCAATTTATATTTCATTAGGACTTACCTTTATAGGGTTAATCTTCTTCTTAGAACCTCCTCCTTGCTCATATTTTTGAGCATCTACTATTTGTTTCTTGAAAGATAAATCTATAGTATTAACCAACTTATAGACTACCTTGCATCTTAATTGAATAGGTTGAGTTCCTTTATGCATGTTTACTCCATCAGTTAATAACTTGATTGTTAGAAACTTTGGAGCATATAAATCTTCTAAGCTCACATAATATCTTGGTTCACATATATAACTTACAGTTCCCTGACTTAGGCTACATGTGATACCACTAATAATTTGATCATAAAACTCTTTATGTCGTCTAACATTACACACAAAGCTTAAACATTTGACATTTTACCAAAATCTTGTAAAGGAGTTATGTATACTTGTATTGCACCAATACAAATATAACTATAATTTTCTTTTTCTTTATGATTCTTAATGCTTTTCCAGTTTATGATATTAATTTCAGCTGCTTTCTTTTCACAATCCTCAATTATTATACTTCCCTCCATTTCTTAACAAACATATTTAGTTCTAGTTTTAAAGAAAGAAGTTTTAAATATTTTATCTTTGGTAATCTGAGAAAAATTCCAATTTTCTTTGTTCATTTGATCTAGATCTTTATTATCTTCAATTGAATATTCAGCTCTTTTTAGTTGACCTATAGTCATTTTAATCATATCTTCCTCCTCATCTAATTCAGAATTTTCTAGCACTTCTCCTAGCTTCCATCATATTATTTATTTCTTCATAATTTTCTTCTTCAAATTCACCGTCATCATGTTCTTCATTATACTCATTTTCTTCCTCGATTATTTCTACTATTCCTTTGTTATTACTTAAAGCTAATTCCAAAGCCTTATCTTCTGGTATTTCTATGTAGTCCCAACTGCCTAAGGCTTCCATTAGTTTATGATTAGCTTTCTTACATTCATTAGCATAGTGTCCTAATTCTCCACAAGACCAACATTTACATATTTTCTTTTTCTCAGGATAATATGTTGCTTTTCTGAAAAACCTACTAGGTTTTCTATATTTATGTTTATACTACTTCTTCTTATAGGTTTCCCCTCTTGATCTATCAAATTTATTTTTCTTATAGTTTTTCCTCTTGTTATAATTTTTTCTTTCACATCCATAGCTATCTGGGAAATCCCAACAAGTGAGAAATTGTCTCTTCATTTGTTGAGTTCCTACAACATCTCTACATTTGTTTTCAATCCATTTTCTTAAGAAAGCAATTCGGTTGCCTAGGGCACCCCTAGCTATATATTTTTCTCTCCATTCTTGATATTTTTCACTGATTTCTTCATTAAGAGGACTTGATAATTTATCATAGAACATTCCAAGGTTTGTTTCATTTTCACCAATTTATAATAATACGTTTCAAACTCCATAATGTAACTCTCAACATATTTCATATTACAGATGGAAAGATAACTTAATTTTCTTTGATAAACCATTCGTTTTTCATTAGGGTCAGCTCTATGACCAATGAATTCTAACTCAATGTATTAACATAACTGTCTAAACATTCTAGTAGGAGATTCACTAGTTCTTAATTCGGTTTTAACTTCTTCATCAATACCATCATACCAGTCTTGTACACAGCCATAAAAGCTATGTTCAATGTAATTCAAGAAATTTTCAGAAGTCCATTCGGTGTTTAGGTTAAGTACACTACTCATGCTCTTTTTCCACTGATCTAAAACATCTTGTCTATCTCTTATCCCGTCTAATTTAAGGTTATAACCAGTTTGGCTATAACCAACTTTATGGGTTCAAGAGTTACTTTTTCATGTTTAGGTATTTGATTAGGCATAACCTTGACACTAAACCGGGTAGTCTTCCCTGGTATGTATCTTGGTCGTGTACAACTTCCCTCTCCTTGATACCTAGGTCTTTGGATAACATTGTTTATATTATTTATAATTTCTTCTCCAACGTCATAATTATCCATTACCCTTTTACTTAGTTTATTGTCTATCTTTTGTTGAACAACTTCAATAGGTAAAAAATCTAAATCTTCTAACTTCATTAATCCTATTTGTTGATATAAATCTTCTTCTAATGTAACGTAATTATATTCTTCTATTTCATTGTTAGGAACAAATCCTTTTTCAGAAATTATTTTCATGATCTCATTTAGTTTATCAAGGTCTTCTTATTTATCAAATAAGTTTTGCTTTAATCGTTTTCTCCTGAAGATGATGGCTCATCTTTAGTTTCTTTGTTCTTTTCCTTTTCGCCAGTGGTTCTCTTAGTGAGTGATACAGAAAACTTCTTAGTTTTATCTAAATTCTGAAAAGGATATTTATATTTATAAGGAACAATCTTTTCTTTACTAGGTGATAATTCTTTGTTAAACTGATGTCTAACTTCGTTTGTTAAAGCAAGTTGTACTTGTTTAACTTGTTCTCTTAGCTCACTTAAATTTTTGTTAATATTAGATGTTGTTGCTAACAACTTATTTTCAATATTCATGCAACGAAAATGTATTCTATCAACTTCTACTTTTAGTTCACCAATTTGATCTACTATATAATTAAGGACTGGACCAAAATTATTAGTATTTTCAGGAATGTGATAGTTGTGCTTAAAATCGGGTTTCTTACACTCAATAGAAAGTCTTGTATTCTCCAGTTTTACTTAACTAAATAGCAACTTGGCTCTGATACCAAATCTACGCAGCTTAACAGTTCCTAATTTATAATAGCAATATTATCTTTCTTAATAACAGGTTTCACTTACGCAATAACAGTATACAAATATAACACTTTATTTCTAATACAAAATATTTAGTCTTTATTATATAAGTACTACTGAAATAAACAAAATGGCACCTCGAAAGCAATATTGAACAAACATATAACCGCATTAAATTTATTATAACAAGTTCAAACTTAAAATAACAGTATTAAAATAAAAAATGATGTTTTTCCAACACTTAGCGAATTTTTATTTGTTTAATTTTTTTTCACCTAGGTACGGACCTTTGTTGTCCATACCTGGTAGTGTTCTATACTTACTTGTACATCACTAGTTCACTACCCGAATTTGGACCAAATGAAAACCAACATAGCTTGCCAGTTTAGTACTCTAATGGTCTCCTAGACCCACACAATTCAGGCCCTTACGGTCACCGAACGTTTTCTCCATCACTCTCTTTTCAATGCAATTGCATTTAACATGCCGAAACTCCCAAAATAGTTAAATTTTTTTTTAATACTACTACCATGTAATTAGCTGTTGTCAAAATCACCTAAAAATTCAACACCCACTATTCAAAAAGATTTAATTTGGGGGTCTTCAGTTTTGTCTTCTATAGTAGAAGGTAGAACTACTGATAAACAAGGCGTAAAAACGAGTGAGACAAAAAGTTAAGCATGTTGAAGAGTTTAGCAATTGCAGGAATATCATTATTTTCAATGCAAAATATTATAGTTGAAGCCGAAGATTATGAATTTGGGACTTTTGAATGGTTTTTGTATGCGGGTATTTCATGTTTTCTTGTAATATTTGCTGGGATTATGTCTGGTCTTACTCTTGGTTTGATGTCTCTTGGCCTTGTTGAGCTTGAAATTCTTCAGAGAAGTGGTTCTTTGACTGAGAAGAAACAAGCAGGTTTATTTTCTGGGCTTATAATATTTTCTGTTTGGTATTTTTGGCTTAATTTTTTATATTGGAGGTCAAATCAGCAAATAAATTGTGGGTTTATCTGGGTTTGTTGTAATTAATTTGTTCTTTTGATTGTTATTGAACATTTTTTAATTAACTAAATTTATATAGTTTTATTCTCACATTATGAATTTATATTAGTTTTGAAATTTAAGGATTGATTATAAAGGGTCAATTTATAATTTCGGGGCTTGTTTTGATTACTATAATTGACTGACATAAGTGAAAATTTCACAATTTTTTCATGGTTACTATAAAGAAAGCTCAATATGTTATGGTCAAATGCAAATTTTGGTGTTGATTTTGAATGTTGTCTCAGTTGAGACTGATTATGAATTTCTGTATATCAGAACTCTTAATTGTAATGTTAGTATCTTATGTTGATTGTCTAGAGTTGACCCTGATCATGTTTGCATGCAAGTAATCACTAATATGACATTGTTATATGCTTTACTGGTTACTTACTTACTTTGGATGATTTGAAGTGATCGGGTTCGAATTAAGGAGATATATATTATATAGTTGCTTCTGAAAATCTGTAATTTCTGCAATAATATTGGTCAATATTAGTTTTTCTCTGAGATTGTAGTCAATTCTTTCCATTTTGGATATATTTTTGGATGGATTTTTAATTATTAGTGATAAAGTACATTTTTAAAGTGGTGTTATGGACTTGTGTTAGTGGCCTGGCGTTGGCATATGAACATGCTGATTAATTGAAGCTAATGATCCAATGTAGCATCAAGAATTTATAATGATACTCTATTATAAAGTCAAGACTATGGTTTGATTGTATTATTTTTTATCTGTTTTCAGTTATGGTTACAAGCATTGTAGCTGTTAGCATCTTTACTTGCATTTCATAGATGTGCTGGACTTTTGATAGGATATAAAAAGTAGCTTCTTAGTTTTTGTAGGAATGTTCTGCCTCTGATCTTGGTAATTATATTTTGATATTCATTTTATCTTTCCCTACATTCCAGCTGTTATTCTACCAGTTGTCCAGAAGCAGCATCAACTTCTTGTGACCTTGCTTTTATGTAATGCTTGTGCGATGGAAGTAAGTGAATACTAGCAACTTCCCCCGGAGTCATATTGCGGACTTTTCATTGTTCTGCTCTTGTATATTTTCATTGCAGGCACTGCCTATTTACTTGGATAAGATTTTCCATCCTTTTGTAGCTGTTGTGCTGTCCGTTACCTTTGTTCTAGCTTTTGGAGAGGTCTGTCATTTTCACATTTTTCCCCCTTTATCAATTGACTTATTATTTATATATTTTCTGTTGCAGTACTAATCATTCTCCATGATTTGGTGTGTCAGATTATTCCACAAGCCATTTGCACAAAATATGGACTTGCTGTTGGTGCAAATTTCGTTTGGCTTGTGCGTGTACTTATGATAATTTGCTATCCCATAGCTTATCCTATTTCAAAGGTAAAATTAATTATTTTTAGAAAAATTGATTCTAATAAAACCACTTTACCCGGTTTTCTTAACACAGCTTCACATTTGACTGAGAATAATCCCAATTTTTAGGGTTGATATATAGGTTCCCTAATGTTAAAACAAGCAACTCTAGTATACATTCTTCTCAGATGATTTCTATTGTGGTCAAAAAGTCTATCAAAAGATGGAACATCTTTCTAGGAACATTGTTGTATTGAATAAGAAAGAAAAGTATGTAAAATGTTCCTTTGTACTATTTCTGAGAAGTGGATCATATTTAAATAGACACTACAGAAGTTTTCAGTAATGTCATTAACATTAGTTGCATATGGTGATGTGACAGGTCCTGGATGCATTGCTTGGACACGATACTGCACTATTTAGGCGAGCTCAATTAAAAGCCCTTGTCTCTATACATAGTATGGAGGTATAAATGATATATTATTTTTTTAACAAGGAATAAAGGATTCTTATGAATGGTTTGCCTGCAAAACACTGCCGTTATGTCTAACGTCCCGCTTTCTCCCTTTATCTTATTTAGGAGGGTAAGGGTGGAGAACTTACACATGATGAGACAACAATAATCAGTGGAGCACTGGATTTAACAGAGAAGGTATTGTTAGTACCCAAAGGAATGTCATGGCTTCTATGATTTCATATTTGCATAATTTCTTATTAATTCTCACACTCTACTGCTTTGACTGCATATAATTTTCTACAGACAGCTGAAGAGGCAATGACACCCATAGAATCAACATTTTCCTTGGATGTAAACGCCAAGCTTGATTGGTTAGTTCATTACTAAAATCAACTAATATCTTATTCATCAACATTTTATTTGGAAAAATTTCTTCTGGTTTGTATATGAAGATCAAGGGATACACATCTTTTTGCTGTTTTTTTTTTTTTCAGGGGATAATATGTTTAGTTTTCTTGGAAAAGTCCTAAAGAAGAATTGATGCTTATAATCAAGTTTGTTAATTAAATTCTTAAAATGATCAAATGAAAGATAACTATGCAAAAATAATTTCTTAATTGTCACAACACAGGGAAGCTATGGGGAAAATACTTGCACGTGGACACAGTCGTGTTCCTGTATATACTGGGAACCCAAGAAATGTTATTGGATTGTTGCTGGTGGGTGAGAAAACTCCAATTAAAACTTCTGCAAGAAAAAATTTGCATATAAGAAGAATTCATATTTGTAAACCTTGCTTCTCTTTTCTTACATCCATGGTCGTCTAGGTAAAGAGCCTACTCACAGTACGACCTGAAACAGAAACCCCAGTCAGTGCTGTTTCTATTCGCAGAATTCCTCGGTGAGCACATGGCACGTTTTCATTACTTTTTCTGAGTTTTTGGGTTTCATGCTAGTGATTGCCAGACTTTACATATTTCAGGGTTCCGGGAGACATGCCACTGTATGATATCCTAAATGAATTTCAAAAGGGAAGCAGCCATATGGCTGCTGTGGTGAAGGTAAAAAGAAAATGCAAGGAGCCAGTCAGCAACAAAGAATGCTTTGAAACAAAAAGTGCAGGCACAGTGATTCCTGAATTATCAGCCCCTTTGCTTCCTAAAGCTGACCGAAAATCGGATGGTGTTGTTCTTGATATCGGTCATTATCCAAGGGCAGGAAAGAAGAATAATCAAACTGCTAGCCAAAATGATGATACATCTTATGGTTCTCTTGATTATTCTGAAGATGCTGAAGATGGTGATGTAATTGGCATTATTACCCTGGAAGATGTCTTTGAGGAACTTTTACAGGTAGGGAGGCTTGACTTATCATGTTGAAGAATGGTTTTATGAACCTTTAACATTATTATTACATTCCGTTTTTAAAGTCGGTCCACTACATTTTTTTTTTTGGGTTTCAACTTCCATTTCTTTTTTGTTTAGTCTTCAACCTTCCCTCTAGTAAGTTTGAGGATTAAAAATTGTATGCCCATAGTGGTTTCCATCATTTAGAGAACTACATAAGATATCTTCAGTTTTCATTCTAAGCCAGATTTATCAAATTGCACTATTGCTTGTGCAGGAAGAGATTGTTGATGAGACAGATGTGTATATTGATGTACATAAAAGGTAAAATCATACAGCTATGTTGAATACTGTTTGTTATTTTATTATTACTGAGACATTATGTTACCTACAGAATACGAGTGGCGGCGGCAGCAGCTGCTTCATCTGCTGTAAGAACTCCATCAGGTCGTAAGCTAATCGGTCAAAAGGTGGTGAGTGACAGTTTCTTTGTTCGCATTATGATTATATGATGTTTGTGGCTTAATTAAAGGTGATCCTCTCATTGAATGCGAAAGGGAGACTTGAGAAGAATTGAGGTTACTAGTACTAGTAATGTTAGGGTCCATCCTCCACACGAAAATTATGTGCTTATTGCAAGTGTCATTAAGGGCATTTAGTCAGGCTACAACAGTATCTCTGAATCTTTAACTATTTCTGAATCTATATGTTCTGTTTTGTGGTCATTTCGGAAGCAATTTCCTACGTTTTCCAGCTAATAAGGGGATGACGTAACCCCAGCATTGACATGTGCATTCCCGTTTAACTTGCTTTTTATCTGTTTTAAGTTGGTGAGATCTTGTTTGCATTGTGGGCTTTTAATTTTCACTTTCATTTTTTTTCTTAAAAAAATTCCGATATAGTATGTTTGCTGATTTGAGTTGCATATCTTCATTTTTAAAGTAATGGGCTTCATGATCTTAATTTGCTTACTAAATACCACTTTTCTGCTAATCTGTGCTTAGGGAGAGCAAAACAAGCACGTCCAAGCTGCAAAGAAGTCCGAGCAAAACGCCCGCAGCAAATGATGCCTAGATAGGTTTCAGCCCAGAGACAAGAGCTAAACTTGCGGCTTGTGAATTTTTATCTGTGTATTCTTTGATCCTCAAATCTGTAGCTAATACTTAGTAACACAGTCCCACGAGAATTAGCATGAACAGAGTAAAGTTGATCTTTTTCTATACTATAGGAGCTAGATGATACTGTGTTTTGAGTTGTTATAGGTAGAACAGTATCTGTTACGTGATACGTCAGCGGACTTGCAGTCAGACCAATCTGGAGAAGACTGCACTGATAGGTTTTTTTTTTTTTTTTTTTTTTTGAAGGAAACGTACACGGATCTAAAAGACCCCCTATTACACCACACTATACACCATTTACGTCGTGATGTTATTGTTAAGACAACCACTTAGATAGCGAATCTGTGTTTGTTTTACTAAAAAATGGCCAATTAGGTGGATTTGCTGCAGATAATTTGAATTATAGGCCATATGTGCTTAATAAAATGCATCAGTGATGCTGACTTTTACATTATATTGCACTACTTAGTTACTTACCAGCTTTTTGTACTAAAAAATGGCCAATTAGGTGGATTTGCTGCAGATAATTTGAATTATAGGCCATATGTGCTTAATAAAATGCATCAGTGATGCTGACTTTTACATTATATTGCACTACTTAGTTACTTACCAGCTTTTGTACTCTTTGTGCATGATATATTCTAAGAATATTCGTACTGAACTTATGATGGTCATGGATTATTGACTTTACATTATCATCGTATTATATATCTACAAAAAAATTACCAAAGGAAGCTTTATTGAGAAACAATACTCCATAGTAGACGCGTGGCAAAACTATTTACCAAACTAAGCTTCCAGGGTAAAACGCCATCTAGAGTGGCGTTTTTACCCTGGTCAAATTTTTTTTTTTAAATTCCAGTCAAGGTAAAAGCGCCATCCAGGATGGTGTTTTTTACCCTGACTGAAATTTTAAAAAAAACTTTGGCCAAGGTAAAAACGCCAGTCTGGTTGGCGTTTTTCCTGCAACACCCAGCCTGCAGGCTGCAGGCACCATACCATCCACAAACACAGCAACAGCACCACACCAGCTACAAACACAGCAATAGCAGCAACAACATCAACAACAACAACAAAAGCAACAACCACAACAACCACAACAACCACAACAATAACAAAAACCACAACAACAACAACATCAGCAACAGCAGAAGCAACAACAACCAGTTCAATGAAAGGAATGAAAGCGTATGGTGAAGTTGATAATTGACATAAAATCAATTAAAAAAATCAGTAATATTGATAATATTTGTTTGGATACAACGTACTAGAGAATCTGATTACAACAAACTAACAAAAGAAATTCTAAGTTCCTGATTCATCTATTCGACGTAATTGCTGTCTATCAACTCGCAGTCTCCGACGACGATAGTACTGAGATACCATTGTGAAAGGATCTGGGTAGAAGTCTCGGAAGGAGTCTGTTGGCTGGATGATTGTCCCTCCTGGGTGGGTACTGAGATACCCTTGTTTGTTGGCGCAGACAAGGGTACGGCGAAATCCTCCTGAATGTCAAAAAACTGCGACGCTGTAGGTGACGTGTGAGTCTATCCCCTACTACTCTCGCTTACCTCACGGTGTGAAAGCTGCTGTGATTGGTCCTGCCCCTGAATAAGATGACCATGACCATGTCTCTGTAAGCTACTCACAGTCATTGCCTGAATTTCACATATCTACGGTATGGTGGGATATGATATGCTTAAGACTCCAAGTGCATCATGTATAGCCAACATATCAAACGCCTGCATAAGTCAACAATCAGTCAATTTAATAATATCAGTAATTATAAATTGATAAAAAAAAAAAAAATCCATCTAAAACTCACATATCCACTGATGTCTCCAAAAGCTGGCTGATAATGAATTGAGGGTGGGGTGTAGTTAGGGTTGATGAAGCGTCAGGTAATGCTCCTGTACCATACCATGTGTGGATCGTGATACTCCATCCGGCCTTGGAAAGGCGCACCATCCACGACCTGCTGCAACCGCTGATCCCACATGTCAATGAAAGGGGCATGCTGAACTGTCGAGCTCACGTCCCCCTTTCCTCGTCGGTTTGTCTTGTGCAAGTGGACACTCGTGTAACACGTGGCGGGGACGGCCTGACAAAGGCCGAACTGTTGCATGGCTCTATCGAGGAGGTGAGCCTCCACTACCTCAAAACAGATGAGGACTGTCATGGCGCGCCACTCCATCTGATGATCACGAAGATATGGGGGCATGGCATCAACTAAGTCAGCGACGTACGGATTCCACGTCATCTGCACTAACACGTTGTCAGTAACATCATAATTAACTTATTGAAACAATGAACGGGGTGTTAAATTAGTTTTTATAGTGTAATTGATCACCTGAGACTCGCTTAGTCTGTCGAATGCGTCTCTGTAATACGGTAGACCCCTCACTGCATGCACACGAGTAAGTCTCCGCACCAGCCACCTAATTATAAATAATAACAGCGTTCATGAGAAATAATTAGCAAAATAAAGCGTATGCCACGTTTGGTGGAGAGAGTGGAGGAGCCTCATATGCATGCTCCTAATTGTTTTCCTCCTCCTGGCCAACCTACCGTCGACGGCTAGCAGCCCTAGCTGGCCTACCAACGTGGATGTGCTCCCAAGCCCATAACTGTAATAAAAAACACAAGTTAAGTTTAGTCACCGTTAAGTATGTAATAGTTAAAAAATGGTATGAAATTAAATGGCTACTTGAAGCTCAATCAAGGAACCGCCGATCTCCCATCTATCTCGCCGGGATGCTCTGCAAAGATGGTGATACAAGGTCGCTAGACACGCACTACCCCAATTGTAGTCACGTATCCGCTCCCAGCTGTTCTCTAACAGCTGTAGGTAGATCAACTGTATGTGACTACCACTCTTGTTACTAAATAACGATCCTATCAACATGAACAGGTACGCTCGAACGACTCCATCATCAGGAGGCAACACCCCAAATGTCTCTCGTAACCACATGTGTCTCAGCCCTGTGCCTCTAATATCGGTGACCTCAGGCCTCACCCCTAACACCCTCTCAACAAGGCCACAAGGGTCCAGTATAATGGGCCCTATCACTGCCCTACCACGTATTGGGAGTCGTGTCAGTATCGCCACATCTCAGAGCGTGACGGTGGTCTCCCCAACTGGTAGATGGAAGGAGTGAGTCTCCTGTCTCCATCTCTCAACGAGTGCAGTAATTAGCGCTCGTTTTATAGGTGTGAAGGCCATCCTATGAAATTCGCGAAAACCCACAAAATCGACGTAATGTAGTACAAGTAGGTCGACGACCCAATCATCCACCGCCCTACCAACGTGGTGCCTGCAAAGCAAGCACCGTGCTGGATCAACCTGTATAACCCACAAAATTACATTGTTAGAACAATTAACATAAAAGTTGCCAAAAAGATTAAAGATTTGGTAGATGAAAACTTACTGACTGCACCCATATGTCACTGTTTCAGGGTTTTTGGTGTCCCTCGGGAGAGTTACAATTCCAAGAATGGATGCCGACCGTCTGTACCTGCAAAACCACGGAAACTACGGTTGGGTGGAGTTCCGCCTCCGACTATCAAGTTAGAACGTGCTCGGATGTAAAAAGTGCGGAATGTAAAGAGTTTCTCTCGGATTCCGAGAAAGAGTATTTGCAATTAATATTGCTCTGTTTTGTGAGAATTTCTCTGAATTTGCAATAGATGGGGATCTCTCCCTATTTATAGGGTTTGAGGTTCAACTCCCCTTTCATTACATGGACTGCCACGTGTCCTCAAAGGATTGATTCTTAAAGAACCTCTCTGAGGCTAACACGTGTCAGCATGCGATTGGTCCACGTGGACAGGGGTATTTTTACCCTAAATAGGTTCCCCTCACAGGTGTGACGTGGCTTGCCATGTGGCACCTGTGACAGGTGTCATAATCTGAGAAGGCGACAGTTTGCCTTCTTCTCTTTTTTTTTTTTTGGAGGTGACGGTTCGCCTTCTTGGGGATTTCCTTCTATAAGTAGAAGTCTCCCCCCCCCCTCATTTTCCTCACTTTTCCATTCTTGAGAAAGTTTCTGAGAGAGAGAAAAGAGAGCTCTAAGACCGACTGTTATTTCTTTCACAACCGCCTGCCTTTTCTTCACTCAAACGATTACCGTCTGAGTACCCATTGCTCAAAACTCACTAGCACCATCTGAGCATACCTTAATTGATTCCCTCTGCTTTCAATACACCCTTATCCAGTCAACCATCTAGGGTATCATCAAGTAAGATTTCAGAGAAACGCCTGAGTTCTTCAACAATTTTTAATTGCTTTCAAAGGGGGTACATACGGAGAACTGTCTGGGTATCTAGCAAGCAACAATCTGATTTCCGGCTGCTGATTCAGCTAGTCAACCGTTTACGCTTTTAAAGCTTCTTCAAGGTACCGTCTCTACCCCTTGCAACTCTCTTTGAGCTTTTCCGGTTGTATGCTTTGTAAGAATAATGGACTCAACCAACACACACACGGCACTGCGTAGGACAGTTGTCAGCCGGTCTCCTGATACGGCTGAGTTTAGGACTGGGGATGCCATCTGGGGGTGTTTGGACCATCCTTTCTCTTCCACAAATCAGACCGTCTCTGTGCATGTGCAGGACAGGATGGCTCGGACGAAGCGGACGACTGTTGACCCCGACTACAGATGAGACAGCTCAGCTGAAGCGCCGGCTGATATAGAATATTTTGACCCTCTAGGTGTACCCAGCACACCCAACGATGACATTTTGGAGGAGTCTGAAGACATAGGCGGTGATGAAACCGTCCAACAATCGGACTCTGAGGAGTCAACACCCTTAGAACCAGATGCCTTCCGGGAGGATGAGGAGGCGTACAAATGGCTCTCCATTAACAACCCTACTGAAGCAAGCATGTCCGCCAGGGACATCGCTACTCTGAACGCCACCTTCCCTGCCTTTATTAAGAAGTGCCCGATTGGGGATAGGTGGGAAGTATAAGTACCGCTTGTAGAGGCAACCGTCGTCTAGGAGGATGACATTGATCACGCCGACAACTATTTCAGCTATTATGAGGCGGCATTTAAAGCTGGACTCCGGTTCCCTCTTCACAACGCCATCAGAGCTATCTTAAGAGGCTATGATTTGGGCGTTTGGTAGTTAACACCCAATTCCTTGGTGAACATTTTAAGGTACATTGCTGCCTGCGATATGCAGAATGTGACGCTTAGCTGGGAGGCGTTTGCGCATATGCACTATCTTAGTCGTGCCTCAGGCGGCTGGCGGGCGTGGTATACTTTGACCACTCACGCAGAATACATGATGACGCTTGACAAACCGTCAAAGTGGAGCAGTTGGAAGAGCAAATTGTATTTAGTCTCCTCTCCCTCCCGCCGCCTGAACCACCAGCTCCGGCACTATAATAGGGATCCGGCTCTTCTAAGGAAGAAGTGTGCCCTTCCCCACGTCCAAGATGAGGCGTACACACAAATAATAGAGGCGGGGCTGTTTGAGAAGACAACCATGCCCCTAGATGACGGGTCCGATATTATTGTACCCAAGAATTGGGTACCCCATCCGGACTAGCTTAAGGATGAAAATTTCCTCTCCGCCTGCGGCC